CGAGTAGACGACCCAGCACTAACATGACAAATCCAAGTAAGCTCAGTAGACCAATATGAAACCCGATGAGACGAACCGGCCCACAAAATCATACCAGCCCAAACTGGTAGACTATAAGGGCAATCAAAAAGCAGATGATCCCTAGACTCCCAACCAGCACAAAAAACACAAGTAGCGGGCACCAACGCATTCCACTGGCAAAGACGATCACGCGTAGATAGGCGATCACAAATGGCCGACCAAGAAAGAAACTGATTACGCTTGTTTACATGCGTAAAAAGAAGGTTTTAGATGCTGTTTTTACTATGTTTCAGCTTTGTTTCGGATTTTTCTCGGTCGTTTGTTTCGAATTTTTCTCAGTCGTTTGAGATCCTGCACTCCGTGCTTCTACCAAACGGACCCACCACTCAAAACCACCCAGACGTGCACGAAATCCACCGCCAAGGAAAACTGACAAGTTCCACTAGTACTCTTCCTATCAGTTAAGCTACCAGCAAAATTAGCATCAGAATAGCAATCAATTCAAGAGACGTATTTTAGGTAACCATAAACCCAAGTCAACAGTTCCAAGCAAGTATTTAAAAACTCTTTCAACAGCATGCAAGTGTGATTCTTTAGGACATGATTTAAATCTAACACACATGCATACATTGAACATAATATCTGGTCTACTCGTAGTTAAGTGAAGCAAGGATCCGATCATACCTCTATAAGCTTATATATATACATGATACGAATCCATTTGTGACCAATTACATGTACCAAAGGAGCAATTACAAGAAGCAAGACAAGAAGATTCAAGAGGCTTTCACACTGCACCTTCAAAAGCTTGTTAATGCACAATAATCAACAAAGAGTTTTGAGCCCAAATTTGTTCATAATGTTACTTCAATGAGTCAAGAAGAGAATGGAGCAAAGATGGCATGGGAAAAGTTGTCTATTTTGAGAGATGGCACGGAGGACAAAAAATGTGTGCATAATTGTGAACAGGTGCCTTGGCAGATTGCACCCCTTGGGAGTTTTGTGAAGTCAAAGCTTGTCAAATGTCATCCAAATGTGAAGCGCCTCCTACAGCACATAGATAAGACCATTTGAAGCGTGACTACGTTTTCTGATTTGCATTTAAGTGTCTAGAATGATGTGCAATCAAGTTTTAATTTGCATGTCTTATTTTCTACAATTTGCATTAAGTAGTATTTTGAAAAACTTTTGGTGTTCTTATGTTGAACGACCATTTGGCCTATTTAAAGGCTTGGAATGCTCTTGTTACGGGGAGAACTTAAGATTAAACATATTGGAATTCAAGAACTTTTGTTCCTTAACACATTTGGTGTTGCTTCTTTCAAATCTTGCTTTAGGTTTGATGTTAAACCGATTCATTGGATTAGTCTCGATCAAGCTAATTCTAGAGTGAGTCGTCTTAGGATCTAGGAGTGACCATCGTAGATT